CATCATCGTCGTCTAAATATAAAGTATGAATAACAATATGAGAGAGAGAGAGAGAGTACTACTTCTACTTCTAAAAAAATTAATTCGATTATTTAATCATTGATGTCAACGTATAATGTACCTGTTATTTTAATAGATAGTAATGTGATGATACTTTTTTGTGATTTATTATCCTCATAGTCACTATTGGTTAATGATATTGTAACAACACTGGGTTTTTTTGGGGGGAAAAAAAGTTGATCCTGATTTCGATTAGAATTGAGCGTTGGTAAATGTCCATGTCGGAATGTTAAACGTGAAAATCGACTTAAGAAAATTCAGCTTCAAGAAATCAGAAGCGTACAACTCGTACGTATATGCCAGCGCTTTCTCTTTACCAAATACGGCAGAAAACAAGTTAGTAGAATGCTAACTTACCTTCTTTGGAGTCTTGAGCGTTTATTATCCCATGCACTAATTTTTAATCATTCATTAATTCAAGAAAAATGCGTCTATATAATTAGATGATTAATGGTTACTATAATGAACTGTTCAAAATAAATTTACGTTGGTCTTATGGTAATGACAGGCTTTTACAGCACAGATGTCTGAACGCTGAGTTTTAACAGAAGAAAATGCATAAATTCACTTATTTTAATGATTCATCATACTTGATATATCTATTCTATATTTTGAACAATAGCCGTTAATACCAATTTAGATCAGATATAATAAACTACTATCCAAAAATTTGAAGCCAACTGGCGTGTAGTTTTATAACAACATGGATATAGATAATAATTGGATATCTAAACATTATTAATAATGATTTCACTGAGTGGTGAAACATACAACTCCATCTTTTCCTTAATCCAAAATAATTGGTTTCATTCGTTACTTAGCCACGAAACTGAGGTATACTTCTATAATATAGTTTAGAAAAACAGTCAGATATCTTTACTAATTCTCTAATGAGTATGAGAACACCTCACTTTGTTAAATAAAGTTTATCTATAAAGACTTGGAAGTGTTCTAGACATGTTTTCTTTCAAAAATTAAAAATTAGAATACAAAGTATGAGGAAATTGTGAATATCGTTGCTTCCCATTTTTCAAGCAAATTTCTGTTTTCACACCTCCTACATTTCCCATTTTGCAAGCAAACTAATTAACGATAAATACATAGTATAATAATATGCACTACTCCACATCTTGTCCACCAACATTATATATGAAGCGGTAGGCAGTTTTTCTTACGTGTTCTAGGTATTCTTTTATGTCAATTGATCAAGGGGGAAATTGCGGACTTTAGACTTGAGCGGACTTACGGAGACTTTACCCAACTTTAAAGTCCTCAAAGTCCACTCAGATCGGCGGACGCTGGGAACTTTAAAAGATCTGAGCGGGCTTGGGAGGGCTTGACGGGACTTACGGAGACTTTACCGAACTTTAAAAGTCCGCTGACTTGAGCGGGCTTTGGAGGCTTTAAAAGATCTGAGAGGACTCTAAAGCCCTCTCAAGTCTATAAAGTCCGCAATTTCCCCCCTGAAATTGGTTCAAGTTAAGGTCAATTGATCCAAACATAAGACAAAATCGTGTGTTACAGGAATGGATTCTATAATTCTGTCAGCAACAAGATGCTTTTTACCACTAATATGATTTTGTATTGAGAACTGCATGATTGCATGAATCTAAAGTGTCTTCTATCGTCCTTCATCTCTCCTTTATATTATTTCATAATCAACCTGTGGTTATGATGCTTTAAACTAGATTAGACTATGAATCGTTTGGTCTCTTTTGAGAAACGAATATTTTGGCAAGAAATTGCGTTTCTCAAAGAAATGAGAGATCCATATCTATCGCTGTATCTCTTGTGAGAAACGCAATTTCTTAAAATCTGACTGTTTGAAATACGGTAGAAATATTCACTGGAAGTTCTTTTAGGGTTTTTCTGTCAGCTGTTTACTCTTTTTGGGAGTCTTATTGGGATATAAACAATTTGAATGCGGTCCATAATGATTATTTCACTTTTCTATCTTCTTTATTAGCACGTTGTACTACATACTTTCTGTTAGAAAAATATTGAATTTCATTGCGAGGAGAACTGCGTGCACATTTGTCCTTTATAAGAGCCTCATCTTTTAAACAAAAAAGAACAGGAGACCTGAGTTGAAAGAAAGAAGTGATTTATTTAAGAAGAGTGGTAAAAAAAAGAACTGAAGGTTTTTGTATCATCACAATTATCTATTAGCTTGTCTGCACGATACTCTTCGTCGCCAACTTCTGTAGGCTTCTGGTCAAGAACGAAAAAATGTATGAACTCTTCATCATCTTCACTGAATGCTTTTGTTTTGCCGAATGGAGAAATAATATGCGATCATAAAAAAATGTCAGAAATGGCTGGCGACTACTATGAAAAATTGTTCAAGGAGCCGGACGGAATCTTGAGACCTCACCCTTTTGTTGATTCTCCATACACGGATGTCGAAAATTACGAAGAAGAAATACCCGAGGCTAGTATCGAAGAAGTCCTTGAAATTATTAATAGGTGTAAGAAGAAGTAATCCTGTGATGCGTATGGACTTTCTAGTTTTATGTTTAACTTTCTACCTGCTTCTTACTGGCGTCTTCTTTTACAAATTTTTAACATCTCCTTCGCTGCGGCTAAATTGCCAAGTTTGTGGAAAGGCGTTAGAATGATAATTCTTGTCAAGAAGAATCAGTTTTTACACCTTCACAGACACGTCCTATTTCACTTTTGGATATGTTTTTAAAAATTAACAAGAGATTATTTTTAAATAGACTTCGCGAAATTCTATCGGATACACAGTCCGATTTTACACCGGAGTTTCGTCTGCAGGCAAGAATTCTCCTTTTTTGGAGCAGGTATCCTCTTTAATGGCTAATAGTTCGCCTGTTGCCACTGTTTTTCTTGATTTTAAAAGTGCTTTTGATCAGCTTTGGTTCGAAGGGTGCATTGGCAAATTACGCAGAATGGGAATTCCAAAGTCGCATTTATTATGGATAAGGGCGTAGCTAGTTAACAGAAGAGCGTACATTGAAGTAAACGGCATGAAATCTCGCTGGTTCTTGATAAAGAGAGACAGCCCGCAGGGATCGATTCTTACGCCAACCCTCTTTATCACGTACCACTCGGATATGGGCGATTTTCTGAGTCATTGTACTTTCTTCTTTTTTGCGGGTGACCTTGAGGCAGTTTTACCGACAGGATAGATGTTAAATATATGGAGCTCGAAATTTATTTCAATTTAAATTTGCAACCGATAAACGACGCTAAAACGGAGGCGCTGTGGTCAGCTAGAGCTATTATTAGCCCTGATATTGATAATAAACATGGTTAGGTCTTGTTTTTTACAAATGGGTATACCTCTGTAAAGCTAAATCTAAAATGTACTTTTTTTCTGTTATGTTTTACCAATCTTCATGTGGCTATTCTCTATTTTTCCTTTCTTTACCATAAAATAACACTTGGATTTATCACATTTCTATTATACCTGCCTAAAACGTACCTGTTGTAATCTTCACTGGTCGGACCACTTTTTCGCGTTTGCAATGAATGAAATTACGCTAGAGAACAGATATTATAAGTATTGGGAGAGATATTGGGAAGCGTAAGAAGGATCGGTTGATGGTCAATTAATTTTTGAACAAGCAATCTTGAATGAAACAGAACTTCGTGGATTAATAAAGAAAATTCGATTAAAGGTCTTCATTGTGGAATATGTATCAACTTGCGAAAGATGTGCTTCTTGGTGTCAGAGTAGCGCCTCTGCTGACTCTATCCGCTTATTTGATATGGATGATATTTTATTGCTAAGAGACTTTCCAGAAACTTCCTAACTTTCTTGTATGTAAGGTGCTGTCAAATGTTTAAAAAATATATAAAAAGAATCAAATATCTTTTTTGTTTACTCTTTAAATAATTTGTATTTTTCGTATGTTAAAATTGTACTTTAATATTTTATTGTGTAGTAGCATTTGTTAGTGTTGTGTTATGTATGACTATATTTATATTCTTTACACTAGTAATTCCATTGTTCTTTACCTGTTCACTATTTATTCTCTGTTCTTAATGTTGTATTTTTGTTCTGACAGGACCTAGATACGTCATCAGTTCTAGGCAAATAAATATACAAGACATGTTTTGACATTAGGAAAAATATATTTATTTTTAACTTTCATCAATTTTGAAATCGATTTGTCTCTCACTTTTTAAAAGCAGAATCAGCGGTTCTAAAAATGGAGTGATTTATGACCAGAGAAAAGATTGTTGTTGTTAAAAATGTGCACTCTTGTTTTCAACCCAATTATTTTTTGTTTTATTTTACTTTACTCTTCTTGTAAAATGGAATTACTATTCACTTCATTCTTCTAAACGAAGTTAAAATTGAAACAAAACAAAGAACAGAGTAAAAAAACTCAGAGTTAGTCGAAATTTGATATTATCGATACTCTTCATCACGGCTACCCATCCACGTTTTCCACGTTTAACATTCCGACATGGACATTTACCAACGCTCAATTCTAATCGAAATCAAGATCAACTTTTTTTCCCCCCAAAAAAACCCAGTGTTGTTACAATATCATTAACCAATAGTGACTATGAGGATAATAAATCACAAAAAAGTATCATCACATTACCATCTATTAAAATAACAGGTACATTATACATTGACATCAATGATTAAATAATCGAATTAATTTTTTTAGAAGTAGAAGTAGTACTCTCTCTCTCTCTCTCATATTGTTATTCATACTTTATATTTAGACGACGATGATGATGAAAAAGAGAAATATCGTCAGTTGCAACCAATATCACTGCCACCAATTAGAGAACCACCATTCAAACGACGCCAAGTTGATCCCGATATATTTCGTAAGGCTTATGATAAAGCTTTGTCAGTCGCTCGTAGTAAAATGCTTCGAACAAATAATTATTTTATCGATACCACTGCTACGACAACAAATCATGTACTCTATTCATACTTCTCTCATACACCCTATTGTATCTTTAAACCCGCAACATGTACACATAAATATCAACAAGGAGGAAAAACATCATCCTCATCAACCAAAAAACTTAAACCAAATCAGATACGAAAAAGTATATTCAATGATGTTATTGTAGAAAATTATATTCGATGGTAGTTATTATTTCTATAAAAAAAATCAATCTTTTATAATTACTCCACTAAAAGGTGTATCGAAATGTTTCGTAGATTTTCTCTGATGCATGCTGTGATAATTCGATCATATGAGATAGATTCAGTGACTGAAGTCTCATTTATCAATTATGCTAATGTTGGAAACATTGTGTCATTGAATTAAAAAATAATATTACAAAATAGAGAACAAGCGAGATGATCCTTCATCTCCTGTTGTTCAAAATGGGATATTTAAATATTAGTAAATTTCTGCTCTAAAACAGAAACTGCAGGACTCAGGATAGCTTTGAACTACCAGCATTTGAAAAAGGGAATGACGCAATCAAGGCTAAGTTTTGAAATTTTGTCTCAAAAGATTTTTTAGAAACATTTTAAATTAGAAACTGAAACTTTTTTTTGCAATAAAAGAATTTTTATAAACGAAACAAAACTATAGACTAAATCTAAAATTTGACTCTGTAACATCATCAATACGGCTTTTAGTTCAATTCAAGACCAACCCGGACTCTTTAGCGCTTGATTTGACAAGAAAATCTTTTGAGTGACAAGAATCTCTTTTGAGATATATGGTGCAGTATACAGTACAGATTCTGAGACTAATAATAAAACTGTCAACTACACAATGAGGACCATAGACATGATGTTCACACGTAATAAAGTCAAATAAAATAAAAATTCTTTTCAATAATATGCATCGATGAGTTTTCACAGCAATTTTTCCGGATTTTAGTCTGTCTTAGATCAGATATAATTCTACACGTGAATGAGTCTCGAACAACATATACCACCTTGCGTATAGCCTAGGCATTCATTTAAACAATGTGGAGGCTAAGAAAGCGTGGTATGTGATAGATGCTGATATTGAAGCGAAATGTTTTCGCTTGACGAAATATAATCCTTCCGCTTTCGATCAGTGATAATCAAGCATTCTTTTGATCTATAATTGTCTGAAATATTAAAATCAGGCAAGCAAATTAATATTTTGAACATCACTGGTCCGAAATTGCTTGAGTGTATTGACCTGACTTTTTTTCTCAAAGAAAAATCTGAAAAAAACAATAAATGGATAAAAGCCCACAGAAAATTAATATTATAAAATATTTGATAATGACAACAACTGACTTAATATCGTCAGAAACGAGGTTATGTCGAGCTTATCAGCTGACGAAGAGAAAACGAGAGTGTAGTGATCAATGTTAACAACGGCATATGAAAAAATCAGTTTGGAATATTTATTATATAAAACAAATGTGTGAAACATATGTTTAACAGATTTCATCACCAATTTGGATATAATGGATGCAATTGATATGATTGAAAAATATGTGACTTTAATTTGATCTGACTGCAGTAGTTTTGTGATTAGAATAACAGCTTAAAATTATTTAGATAATATTTTTAGTATTTTCATTTGCACTCGCAATTAATTTACTCTATTTAAACTGTGAAAAATCTTAGAAATCGACACTTATGTGGATGAGAAAAGATACGCAGCCAATATTTATGGTCAGTGTTTGAAACAATCTTGTACTTATAGAGTTGTTACAAGATTTATTTAGAAGATGCATACAAGAAAAAAAGTTGTCATTTTAAAAATGAAGTATGTCTGAAAAGTTTGTCAGCGTAGCTTTGTGGAAGTAAAAATATGAAAACTTCCACATCGTGTGGCTGATTATACAAAAAAACCGGGTTTGTTAGAACAGGCGCCGTAAAACAGGATGAGTTAGATTTCAAATATTAAGACTAGAGGGTGGAGACTGAATAGTCTCTGACGTATATTTACACAATTTGTTATTTTTTGAAAGGAAATAAACCGGATATGTGTTATAACCGCTTTTCGGAGTTGTAAACATTCAAAACAGTACAATATGGATGCTGTAAACGCTCGCTTCCGAGTTGTAAACCGGGTGCGTTTGTGTGTGTGTAAAAAAAGTTGATCCTCCCTATTTTCAAAAGTTTTCTGGCTTTAAGCCTCAGACTTCCATTTCCTTCAGAAATCGGACAAATCCTTGTAAGTTTTCACAAAAAACTGGTATGGTTAAAAATACCTCGCCATTTCGCTAATAACACACACACACACACACACAAAAAAAGTAAAGTTGTGTGTTTAATTATATTGTTGATATTGTTGTTGTTGTTTTGAAACTTCTCGTTCTTGTTCGTATAAATCATTATCGAGACCACGTTTTGAGTAGTCTGCATCTTTTGCACAATATCCAAAGACAGGATTAAATACAGAACCCGTTATTAGATAACATGAACTAGTTGGTTGTAGAAATTGTTCATCTACAACATTATGTGTATTACCGACGGCATGAATACGAACACGAATATGACTGATAGTGTCATTGGGCTGTGTTTGCAGACGAAATACGTGATTTTGACCAATCAATACTGATGTTGTTTTTTGTTCTACTTGTAAACGGTTTTGCAAATAATTTATTTTTGCATAAATGACAAAAAATCCACGTTGAATAATAGTAACACTTAGCACGGTATTATTTACAGAATGATCAGTTTTGTCTAAACGGATAAAAACATTTTATTAGAATTAAATATAAATAAATTGTTTGTAAAAGACTGAGCGAAATGTTGTTTATCTGTATTAAAGTGCTTTATTTACGAACACTAGTGTGTATGTTACAAAAAGAAAACAATAACTAACTACGGACAATCAGATTTAAGTTTATCAATTGGCTAATGATTCCATGCTTTAAGAAATGTGTGATAATCTGCCACACAATTACCAGCCACTGGATGAAATATGCTGCCAGCCAATAAATAACATATTTCGTGAACATTTTGCACATCCTCCATTTGAATATCAACGACATTTCTATCTGAATCTGATCCAATAGCATGTGCACGAACACGAACGAAAGTAGCTGTTGATGGTACAAAAATGGATCGATGTTCACCAATGAGTATTAGTTCGTTCAATTTTAATTCTTTCTGAAGATCATCCTGAATATAGTTGACGGTTACACGAACCATATAGGCACCGTCGTTAAACATAGCAACACGTGTCGGTTCAGTAATATTTCTCGTGATAGGTGTTTTATCAACACTGTTTGAAGGAGAAGGAGAATTTTGATCTATAGTGGAAAGAATGGAGAAGTTGTGTGTATGTGTGTGCTATCGATTGCATGTATTTTGTTCTATTATTGTGTATAAATCTTTTAATATTGTATGTTAATTGTTAAAGTTTGAACATTCAAAGTAAGCTACTATTACCTACCAGCACGAGTATCGACATTACTGTACATATCTTCCTTTTTGAATACGATACGTTTCAGAGCTAAAGTAAAAAAGGCAGCTTTATCATTAAATTTAGGAAATGACGTAAAAACGGTAAAATTTACCTTCAAGAACGTCCGACGCTGCCGATTCTCGATCATGTTGTGAATACTGGTATGCTTAAATTAGTTTTGAGACAAAAATGGATCACCGAATATAGAATATCAATACCGATATCAAACTTACCATGAGCGATAGAAATTGAGAGAAATAGCAAGATTAAAAGTAGAATTTTCATTGTCTGTAATGCGTCTGCTGAAACGACTAAATTGATCAATATTCATTAACAAGTTCATTTTATGCATTCAATACAGTGTATAGTTTACAATTTAATGGATTATTTTCAAAAGTCGTATTAGTTAATTTCAAGAAATAAAGGGTGGCCCAGAAGTCCTGACCCGATTTGAATAATAAATTTTTCTATAGTGAAACAAGTGGTTGTAAATTTGTCTCTATGAAGAAACGATGCAGTAAA